TGTCGCTTAAGTTTCGTCGGAACGAAGTTACAGAAAATCAATTAACAAACGGAGACGTAACAATATGTATGAAGTATGGGAAAGTTATAATAACAAGATTGAGAAGTTAGATAATAACATCAATGTTCATAAAAACGTGTGGAAAACGAATTGATAAGTGCAAAGATTAAACCACCCACACCTCTTTCTGCATCGGCCTAAGAATTGTAACCTAAAACACCATTCACTACCTAATTTTGTAATTAAAGGTGGAAATTTGCCTTCAACAATTCTGAAAAAAGATGGATTGATGCAACCAACAAATGGACATAACGTTCAGCTAGAGAAAAATTGAAAGTTACACCTCATGATGTGTGAATAATTAACATCAAGGGAGAAGGATATTAGGGATTGCCTTAATACAGAGACATGGATGTAAGGTTGCAGTAGTTTCAAATTGTCTTACAACTTATGGCCAGGAAATCCCTGTGAGTACATTACAACTACTACACCAGAGATTGAACTTCCAGTAATAACAAGGAGGGCTGTTATAGTGCTACCAAGAAGTGAAATATTCATACCAGGAGTTATTAGGAATAACTTTACATTTAGTGATTGGGGTGTAGTAGACCAAACACTCAGTATGTCTTGAGGCATTATTGGTTGGAAGAACTCTTGTGGATCTAAAGAATAAAGAAGTCATCATTAGGACAATGAACACAACAAACTACAAAATTAGAATCAATTCTGAGTGGGACATTTCAAGATGTGAGGATGTACAGGTAGTACTTCCACATTAAAGAACATTGGAAATAGTCATCTTTGAGGAAATGTATGGGAAATCTGATATCAATTCCTTATATAAAGAAAGTTTACCACATCACTTAGAAGAACTGGATAATCAGAGCTGTAGACATCTTACAGCTGATCAATGTCAGAGATTGATTTCATGGCATGCTCATGAAATATCAAGACACCTTCTCCTGTGAATGTCATGACATTTTGGTGAACAAATAAGATATATCATATGCCATATATATGTATGTTTATATGAATATATATATAAACTTCTCCTATTCAATGAAACTTAGCATTTTTCTTTACAAGTTTCCAAATTTTTTAGTAATAAACCAGTTGCTTATTTCAAAGTATTCTTATAAGCTATATTTTAAATGTTATAATTTAGATGTTTGCTAAAGAGAGCTGCTAATCATGAACATGATGCCAGATCTAGAAAGATCATAAAACTAGGCCTAGAATCTAGAATCATCCCATACTTAGAAGAAGTGAGAGTTCATTATAAATACAAGAATCGATGATTGAGTAGTTGCTGGTTGAGTCACTAAGGGCTATTGTTTCTATCAGCTAATTGCCCCCAGTGGCATAGCGGTATGTCTGCGGACTTACAACACTAGAATTCGGGTTTTGATACCCGTGGTGGCCAGAGCACAGATAACCCATTGTGTAGCTTTGTGCTTGATTACAAACAAACAAACTATCAGCAAATCAATGTGTTAGTCAAGTTTGTTATCAATCAATGAAATTTCTGTTTAAACATATTTATTGTATTGGGCGTTCAGTTGTTTCAGAGTTTATGAAATTAGGTCTATAATTAAACATGGCTATAGTAAACGCTTATGGAAGAATTTGTTTGTTTGTAATTAAGCACAAAACTGTACAATGGGCTATCTGTGCTCTGCCCACCACGAGTATCGAAACCTGGATTCTAGCGTTGTAAGTCCGAAAACATACCGCTGTGCCACTGGGGGACATTATGGAAGAAACAAATTAATTAGTTATCGTTATGTGGACTGGATCTTGCATTATTTTTACAAATAATTCGAAGGAGCCGGCCCAAGAATAGAGCTGCAACATGCAAGCATATCTAATGTTTTTAACCTGTTTTACATAAATACAAATTTCAAAAAAAATTCGTTTATTTAGCTTATGTGAAGTTTAAGCACAAACACATGGTCCAGCAAGTCACTGAGGTTGCATTTCCAGTTGCTTTTTTCTTTGTTCTCTATAGTAGATAATGTCTATTCTGTCTGAGAGGATATTACAGTAACATGTAGCATCCAAGCTGACGTTGTCTAAATGTTACAGTCGTCTAATGATGTGAAAAAACAAAGGTCACAAGATGATACTGTCGACCTACAGAGCTAACCTGTGGAATTCAGGCACGTTTTCTTAGTTCAGTTATATTAGAAGATTGTACCTGAAAACCATTGTGGTTTAGTTCTACAAAGATCAATTCCGAGAGAGTGAAATTTGACTGGAATGCTGTCTGCAAAAGTATGTACACTGTATTTTCTTTTAGCTTATTCTGTAATAAAGATTATGTTTTCTGGTTTTGTTATGAATTTCACAAAGCTACACGAGGGCTATCTGCGCTAGCCGTCCCTAATTTAGCAGTGTAAGACTAGAGGGAAGGCAGCTAGCTATCAC